CGCCGCGTGGCAACCGCAGTTTGATTGTCACTGGTGTCGCCAGGGGGACCCGTGTTCTTGGCGACGACTGGTCCTGGGTTACGAGGGAGCGACACATTTCCCCGAGCTTTCCCGTAGTGCGGGGGCGCTGCCCGCGCAATTTCGAATTCAGATGTCGGTGAGTCCTCCCGCCGCTTTACCCTCCCGGAAACTTTCGCGCGGACTCTGTGAGTCCGACGCCGAGGCTTGAAGGCCTCGAACCAACCACCTCCGCAGCAAAGACCCGAGGGTTTAGCCACTTTGTGAGGCCGATGATGAGGCCTGAAGGCTTCGAAACCGCCACCTATCCCCCAAACCCCTGACGGCCGAAGTTTTGTCCTCCGCCACCATGGCCCTCTCCCCTTGATGCCTTTTTCCGTCCCGATGCATGACGGCACGTCATTTTTGCGGAAACCTTTTTTTAAGTTTATCGTTTCGGAGTGATCCGACCCCCACGGGACTCCGCGACGACAGTTCGACTCCGGGGAAAACCTCTGGCACGAAACAAAGGTCTCCCGTTCCGTCCGAGAGGCTCAACCCTTACGTTCAAAAATCCTCGATCACGCCCCTCTTAAAACTCTGATCGGCGACCCCGTACGGGACACCGCGAGGGGGCGTGAGGTTGGTATCAGAGCTGATTCGTTTCGGCTCCGAGGTTTTCCTAGGACGATTACCCTGTTTTAAAGTCCTTCTTTTCCTTTTGATTCTTTTATTAGATTTTTCGCATTTTTGAGAAGGTTGGCCCTCCGTCGAAGGAGGCCCGCGAATAGCAATTAGAACCGAGCGAGAGGCCGGGCTCGAAACCCGCCTCCCGTGATGGTGGAACCCGGAATTGGGGGTGAAAACGACGGTGACAACCACGCGGGGATGGTTAATCATCCCCTGTACTTTGTACCTCCTCCTTCCGAAGTTCCCATTTTCTCCGAAGATGACACCGACCCTCGTACCTGGCTAGCGGCCTTGAAAGCCCACGGCTGGTCGGATCAGTTGCTCCGAGAGCGAATACCCGGAAGGTTAGCCGGAACCGCTTTTGAGTGGTATGGACATAACCCGTTCACTAATTGGGCAGCGTTCCAGAGGAAATTTTTCGATACATTTGATCACATCGCACCGGGTCAATGCCTCCGTTTAATAAAGGAATACACGCAGCAGCCTCGGGAGACCTTGGCCAGATATGCTGAACATTTTACGTACTTAGCCGAACGCTCCGGGATGGAGGAGAAAATGGTACGGACTGATTTCGTCAGAGGACTGTCAGATTCTCGTCTGTGGAAAAAGATCCGCAAGAAATGCAACCCTATAGATCATACCCTGACGGAGCTAATTCAGTACGTAATTAAGTACGGGAAAGAAAATTACGATGTGACCCTTCGGGTGTTCGACACAATAGCTACCCCGCTACGGCACGAATGTTCGAAGATCGCTTCGGGTTGGGTCCTGGAAAAAAAGGGCGTGGATCGGAAAGCTTCTTCCTCTGCTTCGGCCTCCCGTCGCCCTAGTCAAGAACAAGGAGGACGGGGTGAGGAAGAACTGTCCATGAAGGAGGTCGCGGCACAATCAGTTACGGTAGTGGCCCCGTTGACAGAGTTTGTTCAGGGTCTGCAGCGGCAATGCCTAGCCGCCGCACAACGGCAACAAGCGGCTATGGTTGTCGGGGCCCCTATGATAAGAGCGGCCGTGGCCGGGGCAGTCCAGTCCCTACGCTGTTATAACTGCAATCAGCCAGGTCACCTTGCGAAAGATTGCCCGAAACCTCGAGCTCAGGGTGGGCCCGCTGGGCCTTCCCAAATCCCGTTGGCCGCTCCAACCGCTGCAGGACAGGGGAGGGTGGCCACGGTGATGGATACCGGGGCAACGGAAATGGTGACCCCTGCGGCCACCGAGATAGGGCCCGATGAATACATGGTTGTGGCGTTGTTCGAACCCGGGACCATCGGAGTGATACGTCATGTCCAACGAATAACCGAGGAAAGCGACCTCGGGCCGTGGAGACCAGGGTTCGAAGACCTTGCGGCGCCTGGTCCTGCATATCGACGTATTGGATGCCTTGTAAGCTCTGGATCTTCAGATCCCCGTCCCTATTCCCTATCTGCTAACCATTTCCGAAGCGGCTAACGAAAAGTTGATCGAACGGTGCCTCAAAAACATGCGCCGATTCGAGGAAAGTCGAAAGGGCAAAAAGCCGGTCCTACGGGACCTACCCACAAACAAGGAGTCGCAGCCCTCGACCTCAAAGGTGCACGAAGCCGACCGGATAGGAATGATCCAGACCGTAGACTCTGCCTCGGAAAAACCCGAGGTATTCCTCCGACCCTATCCTATAACCTGGAAAAGCGTTGAGTGTGACTGCGAGGTCTGGGGAAACCCATCGGCCGCCATCCTAGACTCGGGATCATCGGCGGTCGCCATTTCTTGGAGATTGACGAAACAATTGGGAAGGGAAGGACAGGTTCAGCCCCTCCGACCGGATGAGTTGTATGTATCCGCTACGGAAGACAGTATTCATTGTAAAAGGCGAATAACGAACGTGCCTATATGGGTGGGGTGGGTGCATTGTTCGTGTGACGTGATCGTGCTGGATGTACAGGCGTATGATGTTCTGCTAGGTATTCCGTGGCAGGCAGCGGTCGGAGCGCGAATGCACTTTGAGAGTTGTAAGGTGGTGCTCACATCGGCCCACCCCAAACCCCAAACGATACCAATGAGACTGGCGGTGCGCATGCGTACCCAGCTGGCGCCTCGCCTCACCACGAAAGCCCATCAAATCAACATGATCCGACGCCTGTCACCAGGCGAAAATGAACCCTCAACGGAAACTGACAAAACTGATGTACCCGACCGATATCCGGTCCGAGTTCAGGATCGGTGGCGCCATTCTTGGCGGCGAGAACCACTGGAAATAGTTCGGAGCGAGTCCAACTGGTCGCACGCGTTTTCCTCCGTGGTGCAGGGGGAACCCCTGCTGAGGGTGTCCCGAATAGCTGACCTTTCGGAACCCCCTGCGTCCTTGTATCTCAGGACGGACCCCCTACCTGAAAGATTTACCGAGCTGAGGGGGCTGTGCGATTTATCTTTTTGACCCCCATGGCCCCTACTCACGAATGAAAAAGCCGCGATACTCCTGAAAGAGGGGGTGTCGTTTCAACCCCGAACAAGGGAGTATCGGTGGGGACCGAGGGAACTCACACAGGCCTTTTCGGTAGCACCCTCGGCCGAACCCGAACTGGATAGTGATAGTGACATGGAAAGCGAGTCAATGAGTCTAGCGGACAGTCAACTTATTGCGACTGTCCTTTCGGCAAAAACCGACAACTCTTTGTTTGGGGCCTCGCCCGAGGCCAGCGCGGCGGTCCCCACGGTTACGACGACGGTCTCCCTTCCTAGGGGAACCGTAGAAGTTCAGTTACCAGCCCGTGTTCCGGAGGAATACCGACGCCTCCTCCTGGCAGTTATACGGGCCTATCCTGAGGCAGGACCACGACATAGGGCTAACTCCTTTGATATAGCACGCGATTGATACCGGGGATCACGCCCCGATACATTGCCGACCGTACCGATATTCCCTTAAAGAAAGGCAGCTGGCGTTGGAAAGGGTACGGGAATTCGAGCGGTTGGGGTGGGTCGAACCATCGCTGGGACCATGGTCTTTTCCCGTGGTCCTCGTGCCAAAGCGGAATGGTTCGGTCCGGGTATGTATCGACTATCGAAAATTGAACGCTATCACTACCAAAGATGTGTATCCCTTGCCGCGAATCGACGATTTGTTGGATGCCATCGGGGCCGCTCAAGTATTTTCCAAGTTCGATATCCGACACGGTTTTCACCACGTCGCGGTCCGACCGGAGGACCGACCCAAAACCGCTTTTGTCCTATTTTAGGGCACGTGGCAATGGGTCCGGTGTCCCATGGGAATTTGTAACGCCGCTGCAACGTTTCAGCGGGCCATGAATATGGCCTTCGCTGAGTTCGTTAACAAAACCCGACTAACCCAGCCCCTGATCAATTTYTGCGTGATTGTGTACATGGATGATATTTTGGTCTTTTCAAAAAACACGAGTACCACGTGGAACACATCAAGTGGGTTTTGCATGCACTGAAGATGCAGGGTTCAAAGTGGCCTTGGAGAAAAGCGAGTTCTTCTTGTCSGAGATCTCATTCTTGGGGTACATCGTCACGGTCGATGGACTAAAACCGGATCCGAGGAAGGTGGCGGCAGTTCAAGAAGCCCCGGCGCCGGTCACACTCACCCAGGTTCGGGCTTTTCTAGGGCTGGCATCCTATTACCGACGCTTCAATAAGGGGTTTGCTGGTGTAGCGAAGCCCCTCATGAACCTGCTGAAGAAAGAGGAGCAGCTGATCTGGACGCCGGAATGCGAAGCGACGTTTCAGGCGTTGAAGGAGGCTCTGACATCTGCTCCTGTGTTGGCGCGTCCCGACCCAACAAGACCGTTCTCACTGTACACCGACTGGCAGCCGCAGGCGATATCGGCGGTGCTGACTCAGCACGGGGCGGATGGAAGGGAACACGTCATTGAGTATGCGTCCAAGATGCTGAGCCAGGCGCAGGCTAATTACGAAGTGTGCAAAGGCAAATGCCTGGCGGTGGTGTGGGGGATTCAGCATTTCCGACCGTATCTTTACGGCCAGAAATTCGTGCTGGTAACGGATCATCAGCCGCTGCTGTCCCTGCGCAACAACACGAACTACACGGGGACGCTGGGTAAGTGGGCGGTGCGTCTGCTAGACTATGACTTCGACATCCGCCACCATGCCACGCGGCAGCATGGTAATGCCGATGGATTGACGCGCCTCCTGCCACCCAGCAAGTGTCCCGCCAACGAGCGACTCATTCCGTGGAGGCCAGAAGTCGCGGCGATGAAACCGCACTACGGGGAGCTACACGTGCTGCGTAAGGACGACGCCTGAGTCCGGAATTGAGGTTTCATCGGAGATGGCAGACGCTATCCCTTTGCCCTCATCCAACTCCCTTGCTCTCTCGTCTAGCCCCAACTCGTCCTCTGAAACACATCTAAGTCCCTGTTTCTTCTGAACCTTGCCTATGATCCCGGACCAAGAAGGGTCACATCCGGGAGGGCCCAGCTTTCTTTTATGGGTACAGTGTAGTCAGTGTCATACGGTCAAATCTCACAGACAGTGCGTTAGGTACCGAAGTGAAAGGAGGTGGGTCTGTCCCAACTGTAGAACGGACCAAGTCCCTACCGAGAAGCAGTATATGGACGCTAGAACAGCCGACGGATTCACGCCAAGTGCCCGCCGGGCAGAAGTCTGGACGGATCTTCTGTTGCTACAGAGGCTGTCAGGCGACTCGCTGTCAGAACTTACCAAAGCCGAGAGGCGGAGAGTCACGGAGCGGGCGCAGGACTATCGCTGGCAGGGACCGACATTACAAAAACGAAAAGTCGATGACGACGGAGGGTCTAGCTGGTTGACGGTTCCACACCCTCTCGCTAGGTTCGATTGGACACGAGCCGCTCATGAAGAGGATGCGGTCCATTTCGCGGTCAAGTACACGGAAAAAGCCATCGAAAAGAACGGATGGTACTGGTCGGGAATTCGGGAAGATGTGAAATACATCATCCAGAATTGCCCGGCCTGCGCGGCGGACAAGGCACCGGTACAGATGCCTCGGACGATGGTGCCCACTCGTGTAGAGCGCCCCTTCCAGAGGGTTAGCATCGATACGATGGATATCAACGTTCCGAGAGGTCCCGTCGATCAGGGAGAGCTCAATGTTCTTTTAGTGGCCGTCGATCATTTTTCGAAATGGATCGAGGCGTACCCTATGACCAGCCGGAATTCGCAGGAGGTAGCCTGGTACGTGAATCGAGTTATGTGCATGCATCTAGACGTAGAAGAGATACACATGGATAATGGGTCAGAATTTCAAGGCGAAGTGGAACGTCACCTAGTCAGGACGGACGTTAAGATTATCTACTCGCCGGGGCATTGGCCTCAAGCCAATGGCCTGGTAGAGAACGCCAACCGATTGATTAAGACCGCCCTTAGATGGAATATCACTGCGGGAGACACCCGGCGCTGGCCGGTCATTGTCAATCACATTTTGGCCGTTTATCGGGCCACCCCACACGGTAGTACCGAGGTGTCCCCCTTTCAACTGAAAACCAATAGTGTCCCTCGGGTGCAATTGTCCCCCTTAGTAGGTACGGAAGTTAGAGCAACACGGGCCCAGAGCCGAGATAAGGCCCGCCACTACATGGACTTGATGGCTAGGGCCTATCCCCCATTAGCTCGCCGTCGACAACAGGCCGTAGATCGGACACATCAACGGCAGATCCGTGACTACGAGAACCGACACGCGTCGGCGGGACCACTGCCTCGCTATAAAATAGGGGACTTGGTGCAGGTACGGAAATCCGCGCGCTCCTCCAAAGTCAACCCACGCTACACAGGCATTTACGAAGTGACGTAAGTTGGCGCACGAGGCCAGCACTCCGTGAAGCTGGTCCCCAGGCACAACTCGCAGGGCCGCCCGCTGACCAGGCACGCTGCTGCCCTCCGGCCCTTCCAGCCATCGCTAGATCTCGTGCGGCCACCTGTCCTGCCCGAATCACCTTCTTCGTCCCTCTCTCGTGCTCCTTCGTCCTCACCTCCTTCTTCCCCTTCTCTCCGATCAGCGTCGTCGGCATCCACGGAAGACCTTGCCTCGCAGGATGAACCATCGCCAATAGGAGCATAAACTGCTCGAGCACTTCCAGCCACCCATTTCGGACTATCTTCTCCAGAACCGATTCAACGACGATCGGCAGCTGCGCTTCAACATTCAGCAGGTAAACGTGCCAGCACCCAGCGTTGCTGACCTGGCGGTGTACCCGCTCCTCGCGCAGCGGGTGACGTACGCGGGTGTCTATGTGGACATATCGCCCGTGCCTGGCCAGGAATCCACGCAAGTGTTCATCGAGTTCCGAGCCATCCAGGTGGCTACGAACTTTGTGCACAGCGTCGCTACGTTCACCGGGGATTTGACCGTCTTGCCCGGGCACGATCGGGAGCCGGCGTATAGGTTCTTGCGCGATTACGCCCTTCAGGTGGCCAGATCGGTGGCGTGAGTGCAGGCGAGGGGCACTCATCGCTTCACTGCATACGAAGGACTTCTGCGGTGGACTCCGGAGGGAGCACTTGCATTGGTGCCGCAACTTCCCACGCTCCTTCCTCCCGCCGAGCCCCTCAACATCCAAGTTGTCCCTCCCCCTTCTCTCTAAATGCCTCCCTTCTTCTCTTACACTACCCTCCCTTATCAGCTGACACAGCTTCCTTATCCTATGCGCAACTTTCCCGAGTACGTGATGGAGCTGACGGACGTGGAGCAGTTGCCGCCCGCCGACGAGGACGCGTGGGAGCTGCATTGGGCGCTGTATTCATCGGTGGTGTTGGGCATGTTCACATTCTTTGTGGAACACGAAGTTCATAACGTCGGCGAGTTCCTCCACGTATACTACGTGATCGCCAAGCCGAAACCGGAGCGGAAGGAGGGAACAGTGGCGCTTTATCCTTTCGGGAGAATTGGAACGAATCGCCCGGGGCTCTTACAGCTCATTCACATCGAGCTGCTGTCCATTGCGCAGGTAATCGCGGCGGAAGAAGAAGACTTGCAGCTCAGACTACGGACCGCCTCAGCTCTGTGCAGATCTTATAACGCGGCAGTGATACCTGATTACCTGGCGCATGAGGGGGAGTCTGTGGTGGACTTCGGGCTCGAAGATAAGCCGTTGCGGCCTCCATCATCGTATCCAAAGTCAGCGGCACCAAGAAAGAGAACCGTCCCGAAGCGGCGACGAAGTCCATCGCCCGAAGCTCAGGCCAGTCGAGTGGGGCCTATCGAGGAGGTTGTCCAGCCTGCGCCGGTGCGCGAAGTCGATCCGGTTCGCGAGAGAAGAGCCACACTCGTCATCGGGCCCCGGCCGGTGGAGGACCGCCCCGCCGAAGAATTGCGGAGATCCACAGGCACTCCGGCGTCGACACCTCAGCGGCCCCGCCTCCCCGATCTCAATAGCCATGCAGCCGGGCCATCAGGCGCAGGGGGGGGATTGGGACGAGTTTCATATCCCACATCCAGACCCCCCCTCCTTGCAGGACCGTTCCGATTTCGCCAGCCCGCCCGGGATACCCCGGTCATTGACATTATCAGTTCCCCCGAGCTCGGACGGTCCATCAAACTGACGTGGATCACATGGTGGAACTGGCGACCCTCCGGCTTGAGGCCATCGAGGGGGCGCCACGTCCTGACCCGGCATGGGAGGCGTTCTTGCAGCCTCCATTCGATGGATGTATAGCGGCAAGATTGGTGGGCACGCTCATCTACGAGACCGGCAGGCGGCCCAATATTATGTACCATATCCTGGTCTTCGCGGCGGTTAAGCGGGAGCGGAGGCCGTACACCAGGACCCATCTGGTGCTGACAGGTCCGAGAAATCGGCCGCTGCGACGACGAATCATTCGAGCGATCGCCGATCTCGCGCCACGGGTCCTCTCGCATGTGTCCGGGGGCTTTCCTTTACCCCTCCTTTGTCCAGCACCACTTCAATGAAGTGGAAGTGCCGGCCAACTTGGCCGCGCTCGCGGCGTTTCTTCCTCCTCTTCCTCCCCCTCTCAATCCGGAGATTGATTACTTCCTATGATCATCCCCACCACCACCTCTTTCTTTTTCTTCTTCTTTTCCGGATCTAAAGCTCGCGCGATGATACTCGGTGTGTAAAAGAAAAAGAAAAAAAAAAACCAAAAAAACTCATGCGATAGGAAGTAAC